GCATGATTTCAAAATCACAAGTATGATTTCAGACCAAAATTGCATGACACGAGGTTCAATTACCACTTTATTACATCCATTTTGAAGTCGCCCAAATACAGGAGTTAGTCAATTCAAATATTTTACTGATGCAGTACTGAGCCAGTTTTTTAAATAAAAAAACGGAACCAGAAACGCTTTTACATCTTATTTTGTATGCAAAACAGAAAGACTTTGACGTCATGTGTCAAAAACTCAGTCAAGCATAAAATGCTGCAATTTAGAGCAAAAAATGGTGCAATATTTGTGAATAAATCGCACCAATTAGAGCCAATCAGATTACAGGAACCACCAGTGATTTCAAAATGGATGTAATAAAGAAGCATAATGAAAATCATAGAGAATAAACATATTGGTTTTGGTGAACTTTACAGTTTGCAAGTCAGTTCCTTGGCAGACTTAATCGACAGTTAATGGGAGGTTGAGGTAAATGAAATACCAAATTCGCCACATAACTCCTCTCTATGTATAGAGTTTCAAGATGCTTTACAGTTCATCGTATTAGGGAACATTTTGAATGATCGAATGCTTATTTGAAGCAATTTCTTTCTAAGTTTTCTAAACTGAAATCGAATTCATCTTGTGAACTATACAGCAGGAAGAGATCAATGCTAATGGTAAAATAATTCCTTGAAATAAAAATTACCCCTTAATTAATAGAGAGTAACCGAAAAAATTATGTGAAAATTATTTAAATCTTCTCACCACGTGAATAGGATTTAGCTCCTTTTGAAGCTTTTCCTGTAGAAACTCACAACTGATGCCGCTCATGTCGCGTTGTCGGACCAATAAAGGAATCCGCGTGAGCCTACATGACATTGTTTCTTACATGAAGATTTCACCCAGCTCTCCGCTGATTAATTATACTGGAGGCGTCTAGCAAAGTCTGAAGAAAGGTCTGAGGGAACTGAACGATAAATTTGAGTCGGAAGTTGTCCAAAGTTTAGGCTGAAAAATGGGAAAGAAACAGCATCAGAAGGATAAACTGTAAGTGTAATTGCTTAGGGATTTCATTGTATTGCTTTTAGTGGAAAAAAGAAATATTAGAGCGTTCACCCTTACGTTGAGAACGATAGAATCTGCTGGGGATGATCATAGAAATTATATTTGAGGTTTGATTTTGTTTTCTGTTTATTATTTCAAGGTATTTGACTAACAAGGAATGGAGAGAAGAATGGGGTGGGAAGAAGGCAGGTAAGAAATTATACTGGTGACGTCGGCAAACAAATGCCTCGCGAAAAAATTTTTTTCTCGCGAGTGACTTCAGCATTTTTCATTAAAAAAAAACGGGAAAAACTTCCACAAAAAAGTTAAAATAGACATGGCAACAAGCGAACAAGCCGATGAAAATCTGCCTACTCTTTCTTTGGGAGTGGATTTTTTAACTCCCGAGAAAGAACTCAGAGAAAAGGAAAACAAAACAATAACGCCGGTTTCATCTCCTTTCGCAACTCGAACTTCATTTCCACGCATGAATTCACCTGTCAGTTTTTGACCAGTCTGAGACAAGGTCATTGAAGCATAGCGAAATACTTATCCGAATCAAATAAATAAACAACACATTGAAGAGAGGAGAGGGAATTTCTGCCCTTTATACATAAACTACAGCATTGAAAATGTTATAAAACGATTGGTTCATACGTCAGCTGTGTGTTCATCGGGATATGAAGCACTTGGGAAGTTTGGAGAGCACTCAAGAAGCTAGAGTTGCTCTCGGCTATGCCTTGGGAAACTCTTGCGCATCTTTCGTGCTCTCCAAACTTCCCGCGTGCTTCATATCTCAATGAACGCATGCTGACGTATGAACCAATTGTTAATTTGAGACATTACCTTCATTGTTTCCCCTCAATTTTTGGGGAGCCATTTCCTTACCTACGTACTCTAAAGCATTCACTCATGGGTTTTGTCCCTGGGGTATTCTAATTCTGCAAATATGTTGAAGATGCTCAAGGATGAGGACTGTACCATATGTTTACAAATGACTTTGGAATCTGTCAAGGAACCAACATGGGCAAGCCGATAAGGGTGCTGGATTTCAACCTAGTCATTGGGGGTTCAAACATAGGTGGTTACTTTATAATGGTCTATATCAAAGAAAAACGATAGAAATCTTTAAAAAAATGTGTGATGGTTTTAAATAAAGAAATAAGCAATGCATTTAATTTTTGTATCCTGGTCTGACTACTGTAACCATTTTTTAAACCCAAGATGTCCCTGAAAAAGCAAGTTTTAGAAGGTTGCCATTCTATTGCTGTAGGTTAGTTGATTTCATTGTGTTTTTGAAACCTTTTTATTTTTAATAGTAATTGAAAGTTATGATAATTAGTTTTACCTTAAAGTATTGTTTACTAATAAGTAGCCTATATACAGTAAAATATTTTCAGGGCTCAACACTAAATTTTCAACTTACTAGCCAAGTGGCTAATTTAGATATTACATCAATTTCAGTTTGTTTACTAGCCAAACTGGCGTGTGGAAATCGAAAACCACCAGGCAAGACTGAATTTATACTAGTCTGTGGCTAGTTGGCTACTGTTAGTGTCCAGCCCTGTAATTTATAAGCTGGTTTTACCCTCTTCATAAGATATTAGCTGAAATGTCAATTCCAGCCAGGTTGTGAAAGAGAAACAATGAGATTAGGAAATTATACATGGATTCTACAGATCAGAAGTTTGAAATACAGTACTAAGCTAATGGATGTAATAATTATGCAAAGTAGAGTTCAAGATTTTCTGTAAGTTATGAAATGGTAGACTAATACTCATGGTCTTAAAATAACTGAGGAGAATTTACTACCTTTCTATAATATCAAGAAATGGACAGATATTCTAGCCTTCTCGGATAAGGACAAATAAACCATAGGCCCCATCTCCTGCAGGGTTAGGGGTAGGAGACGTTAATTTCCCACGCACAAGATTACTGGGGGGTGGATGTCCTCCCTGGGGTGGCATGAGTGGGTGTTACAGGGCCCCATTTAAACCAGCTATGCTGAACTGGGCTACCCTGTCTCAATATTCGCAACTTCTACATATTCATGACTACTACCACTTCTTGCTTGATTAGCACAAAAAACTTGAATTGAAATAATTGCTTCTTTTCATTATTGCCAGAACATGCCACTAGAGGATATTATTGTTTCAAGTGAGAAAATAACTTTCTTTCTGTGAAATAAATATTCAGCAAGTCCTGAAGTAGACAAAAAAAATTATCAGTGCATTTGGAAAAGTTCAATTTATTTTCTGGTTGGTATAATATTTTGTAATTCAAATTTTTCTCTATCAACAACGAAAAAGAGAAGCATTTTGAGTTTTCATTTTCTGTCCTTCCAGAATATCCAATATGGCAACAAAATGAACAGGAAGGAAAGTCAATTTAGGCTAAAAAAAATTGTAACCAGACTGCAATCACTATGTACATTAAATTTTGGACAGGAAAATGAGTAATTTTCATTGGGTATTCATTAACTCTTTAACTCCTAAAGGTGACTAGCATTTAACTTCTTCTAACAATATCACCCCTGAATCACACATTAATGGTCACGAGAATATAGGAAATGATCAGCAACTAAAGAAGCTCTATTGTTAAACAAATTCTCATCTGTGCCTAAGGAAATGGATAGAAAACAGTATGGAGAAAATGTCTACTGATATTAAGGTGTAAAGAATTAACAGCTTCCTTTATCTCATGAACACAAAATCAACTAACCTCTTTGTCACTAGCACTATGCTCTGTGTGGGACCCTGAAGATTCTGTCCCTGTTGTGTATTCATCACTGTCTGTTTCTCCTTCGCTCTCGTCTTCACTTTCCTCATCAGAACCAGATACGTTTTCTTCTTTCGCATCTTCACTCTCAGCAACAGCTCCAGGTGCATGGTCAGCTTTTGCATCCTTCTTACCACTTTTAGACCCTGTAACGTGCTCAGGCCCAGCATCACTATCCTCCAGATTAGCCTGTGGTTTTTCATCTGGTATCTGACCAACTGAACAAAATATTTTCACCTTTAGGAGTGACCAATAAATTGTTTCTCCTTACAACATCAATACATTGTCAGTAGAAAGGTTCCAAAAAGAAATGTAGGGGACATTGTTTGATTTATCTCTAAATCATTGGTGTTAAAAATTATATGGAATGTATAGTTTGTAATGGCGAGTATTAATATTTCCAGGGGTGAAAGGTTTTATGTAAATAAAACTTTTTATGTATTGGAAATCTAGATGCATTAATGAATATAAAGATATTTTATGCTACTAGGACTACTTCAAGGGAAGGCACCTAACATTTCATGAACAAAAGTGGTCACCAGAGTCACTTGACTTTGATAATAGCTTGTGGAAATGTCAGTCACCACCACTTTTGCAAAAGAGTTTGAAAGTAGAAAGCAGATGGACCAAACAAGCCAACTATAAACATTCAACCTACAAAATAACATCTTTAAGTGGTCATAGGTGCGTTTACAGTAAATGCTAAACTGTAAAGGATGAGCAGATGAAAATGAAAATACACAAGCAAACTGAGAACAAAAGAAAATTTCTTTCGTGGTTTTCATTTCGTTTAAGTAAGCTTCCAAAATTTTGTAACAGTGTGCCCTTGTTCGAGTTGGAATACCCTCTCCGAAAAAGACAATAAGGCATTCTAGACTAAACATTCTAGAACCTTTGATCGTGTCACACAACTAGCGGTATACACTGCGGTATCGCGTAGTATTAATAAAACATTTCTAACCTTCCAGAACATCATCCTCCGCTGTAGTGGACAGCGTCGTTTGTTCCTCAGATTCTACCTAAAATAAATTTAACCTTAAGATGAAATTTTTAGCACAATTTGCTTTCGCTTCTTCGGAACGAATTAAACCAGACTACTTTACTGAAATGAGACTTAATGACTGCAAAATACCTTTTCGCCAATACGAGGAGTTGTCTGCGAATCGCTCGGGTCTAGAACCCCAGCATCCGCCATGGCTGAAACTTATTTCAACTACAAGTTCTCTATCACATGCGTAAGCTCGTAGGATTAAAAAGAGGAAATTTCAACGAATTAAGAATTTGTCGACACAGCACGCCGGAGCCGCCATCTTGAAAAGCTGCGCAAACAGCTGTTGCGCGTCTCAAAAATTGTAATACTGCTTGAGTAGTTATATTGAAGGCGCATGTCTACGTCTTCTTTATTGGAGAAGCGTTGCGTGACGACCCTGAGAACGGCTGTGCAGCAGACTAGAAGAGTACTTGATAGAGCCGACAGATGTATGGCTCTGACGAAGGGCTAACGCTCGAAACGTCAGCTTTTAAACTCTTTACGGTGGCCAATTTGACCTTGTTATCCCCATCAACTCGGCAGCACCACGGTTTCTTTAAAAACTTACCCCTTTTATTCAGATGTATGGCAAAGCAATCCGATCACGTGGGCATTTTGTATTTCCTTCGAATGAACCGAAGCTTGCAAAGCTTTCGGGTACTTTTTTGAGTAAGTTTTTCGAGGCGCACGTTAAATAGCACAAAAAATTTACGAGGCAACCGAGGTATTCTAATGCACATCAGGCGGCAGAAACCGTTCATTTTGTGTACCGAAAGAAGGGCTACAAAAATGTATTAGACACAGTACAATATCCCCCAACATTCACATCTATGTATTTTGGGGGTTACGTTTCAAGAAAATTGTAGGTTCTCTATTCACATCATGAATAAGTTGGCCACAGCTAATAAATGCCTATATATTCTTAGAACTCTCAGGAGGGAGTGCTATTGTCAGGCAGAGTTGGATAAATTGTTCAGCGCTCTGGTTCTGCCTAAATTTACGACGGAATATCAGTATATGATTCATCTCCACCAGAGCTTACTACCATACAATACTTCCTGGATCGTTGTTACAAACGTAGATACACGTCTTCTCCGGTTTCTATTATCAATTGCTTAGGTAAGTCTGACATAGGTATCTTCAAAAAATTAAGCGCGTGGAACATCATCCATTGCACTACTCCCTTTCCAGGATTAACTCTACTACCCGTAGGCTTAGGCAAGTTAAGCCAATATATCCACTTTACAATACTGAGCGTTTTAAAAATTCTTTTATTAATAGACTTAGATTTAAGCATAACTTAGCTGTAAGTAATTAATACATATTTTAGCCCATTACACTTTATATGTAACACTTTATATGTATTTTATCAGTGAAATAAAGACTATTTATCTATTTATTTATTACCGCCTCCTGTCCGCCGCCGATTGAGCGTTACTTTAGTAGTAACAAGAGAATGACAGCACGCTCGTGGCAAAAACCAAAATATATATATTTTTTAATAAATTAAAAAGAATTGACTTTTTACAGTGTAGCGAACGAATTAAAGACTGTCAAGGTTTAAGGATGGAATCTTGCAACCTCGTTCCCAGAGTCTAGTAATTTGGATGATTTGTTCCGGGCGCTAGAGTGGCGAAGACTCTACTATAAAAGATTGGAACAGAAATCTATCCTAATGTATAAAACATTACATGGTATGACACCTGATTATCTGAGATCAAGATTTGTATATCGTGACAGATGAAATGCTTATCGTTTAAGGAATACAGAAAACAAATAAGTTCTTCCACAACCTCGAACTGACTATCTCAAGAGAAGTTTTTTGTACAGCGGAGCTCAATTGTGGAACAACTTACCTGTGGACCTAAGACAAGCGTCCTCGCTGACTGATTTCAAATCTAAATTAAATCGCCACAGTTTAAAGTAAGATCTTAGTGTAAGATCTTAATTCTAAGTAAATTTTAGACACGGCCTCCATGAAAAGCAGAATTTTTATTTCTTTCTTTTATTTGGATTGTTATTTTCAAATTATTATTGTAGTTAGATAGATACATAGGTTTCTAGTATAGATAATTAACTAAATCGACTAATGGAAAAACCGTGTATAATTTTAAAACAACTATTCACCGAAGTGGAGTTGGTTGGCGGTGGATATTTAACGAGCCGCGAAGCGGCGAGGTAAATATCCACCGCTAACCACCGACACTGAGGTGAATAGTTGTTTTAGAATATACTAAAACAGTGAGATAATATACACCTAAGCTAATGGATGTAATAATTATGCAAAGTAGAGTTCAAGATTTTCTGTAAGTTATGAAATGGTTGGATGCCACTGAGTTGTAGGAGTTGGCAAAACTCTGTGCTAAAATATAATATGATTGATATTTGTTTAAAAAAAGTTTGCGTCTGACGAGTCTGGTCATAGGGCTTTTAAGGGCTGCACCAGTTTCTAGCTTTGGTCTTCATAGCTAATATTTATTGCTTGATTCTATTGTATGAACTTTGGGTATTTGAAAACTATTTTTTATTATATTATTAATTTTCAGCCTTTCCATGCAGCCATTTGAACATCCTCTTTGTACTAAAGATGGTGTTATATTTGATTTGCTGTAAGTTGTATAATATATGTTCATGCCTAGGTTATGCTTCAGCTCTTATATATATTGTGGGTCAATTTTTATTCTTTGCTTTAAGTTTTTCAAACTGGTGTGAAATTGTCAAACTGGTTTAGAATTTTTAAACACACCACTCAATTTCATTTATTTGTAATTTTACATGTAAAATACCGATACTATACTCTGTGTAAAGTAGACTTGTGCTGTTTCCACTGGGTTTTCTTATATAGTTCTGTTTTTTTTTTTTTTTTCATACTGGGCTGTTTTGCAAATGGTTATACAAATGAAAATGTTCTTCTCCTCATGATTTTGTAGAAACATTGTTCCATATCTGAAGAAGTATGGTAAAAACCCAGTCACGGGAGAGGTATGCACTAATACATCAAGTATATATGATGTAAATAATTTTCATATCCAACAGTTGTACAATTAGATAGACTGTAAGTTATAATAAACAAGCATCTTTCAGTCCCTGATTGCATTGTTAGGGTTACTGAACATTGTTCTCTCCAACATGAACAGGGGAGAAGTGGAAATAGATCAAGGAAAATCTGAAAAAATTCTGAGTATAACTTGCAAATAAGCGGTAAATCAATAATCCTTCTGAATGGAAGAGATAGTCATTGCTTACTTCATGGAAAGAAAAATATCAGCAACGAGTTTAAGTCTTGTAAGCCACTGAGAGGTTCTACCTCTCACACCTCTTCAAATATGTTGTGACCAAAAATTCATTTTTTTTTTTTTATAGTTTTTTATTGATCAACAGAATGTGTGGACTTTTAGTGGGGTTTCTTTAAGTGAAAATTTGTGATAAAAAAAATGTGAACCAATGGGGAATTCAAAGCAAGTTGGTGGTGGTCGGGTGAAAGGGTGGGGTTCAAACAGAATGACTTCTGTAAGAGGGCTGTGTTTTTTTTTTTCTAAAAGCATGCTGTTACGGGTTATTTGAGAATACAATCTATTGTATGAGTGTACAGTCTACTGAGTGCAATCACATAATGATATGAATTCCTTCTCCACAGCCTTTGCAAGCCAAAGAGCTGACAAAACTAAATTTTCACAAGAATGCAGAGGGTAAGTGGACTGATGATTAATTTTGAATAGTTTTCTTCAAACAAAGATTTAATCACTGTAGTTTATTTCAGATCTCATTTTCTTTTACAGATAAATATCACTGTCCTGTTACATTCAAGGTCTTTAATAGTAACACTCATATTGTAGCTGTTAGGACAACTGGAAATGTCTTCTCCTTCGAGGTAACTATGACTGTGTTTTCCA